GGGCGGGCGGCTGTGCGCCAGCGACCTCCACCTGCTGCTCAACCTGCTGGGCGGCGGGGCGGGGGCGGGCGCGGGCGAGGTGTGGACCCCGGTGTGCCTGCCCCGCTTCAACCCCGACGGCTACTTCTACGCCTACGCGGCGCGGCTGGGCGAGGAGGATGAGGAGGGTGTGACGCTGATCCTGCTGTCCACGGAGCGCGAAGGCTTCTACGCGGCGGCCGCGTGCCGGCGGCAGCTGGAGGACACGCTGCGGGCGCAGGGCTGGCTGGCCGAGCTGGGGGCGGCCGTGCGCGGGGGAGCGGGCTAYGGCCCCTCCCGGCCCGGTGCCCCCGAGCTCCGGCACTTCCTCTACAAGCCTTTGGAGGGGCCGGAGGAGATGCAGCAGCTGCCGCAGTTCACCAGGTGCGGGGATGGGGGGACACGCYGGAATGGGGAGGGTGGGRTGGSCTCWGTGCTCACCTGACACCCRCGTCCCCCATCCCTCCCTGGCTGCAGCCCCGAGCTGGAGGAGCCCTACACCAGCGAGGAGGAGCAGCACCGGCTCTTCGACCTGTACCACTACCTGCACAGCCGTGTGCACAGCCCGCACCGGCCCCTGCGCCTGCTCTACCATGTGGCTGAGAAGGAAACGCTCCTGGCCTGGGTGAGCTGGGGGAGAGGAGCCATCAGCAGGGTCCGGAGTTAAGAGGAAACGGCTCTGGCAGTAGGTTCCAGGGTTAACAGGGAGTGCTGCCACGAGTAGATTCCAGAGTTAATGGCTGGTGGTGTTGTCAGTAGATCCCACAATTAATGGGATTCTCACTGGCAGCATCACCAGTAGATCCCACAGTTAATGGGATTCTCACTGGCAGTGCGGTCAATAGGCCCACAGTTAATGGGATTCTCATTGGCAGTACAGTCAGTAGGCCCAGAGTTAATGGGATTCTCACTGGCAGTGCCATCAATAGGTCCCAGAGTTAATGGGATTCTCACTGGCAGTACAGTCAGTAGGTCCCACAGTTAAGGGGATACTCAGTGTTAGTGCCATCAATAGGTCCCAGAGTTAATGGGATGTTCACTGGCAGTGTCACCAGTAGGTTCCACAATTAACGGGATACTCAGTGCCATCAGTAGGTCCCAGAGTTAATGGGATGCTCACCAGTGGTGCAGTCAGTAGGTCCCAGAGCTAACAGGCTTGGGTTCCCGCAGGTGACCAGCAAGTTCGAGCTGTACAGCTGCTTCAGCCCGCTGGTGACGAAGGCGGGCGCCATCGCGGTGCTGACCAAGCTGCTGCGCTGGCTCAAGAAGGAGGAGGACTGGCTGTTCATCCGCTACCCGGCGCCGTTCTGTGCCGCACCCGCGCGCCCCGAGGGGCCCGAGCCTGAGGGCTGACAATAAATGCTGAGACCCCGGGGAGAGTCCTGAGTCTGGGGGGACTGGGGGTGAGGGGACATGGCGTGAGGGGTGAGGGGACGGGGAGATGGGAACACATCCTGAGGGGGGAGAGCATGGAGGGAGGGAGGAGAAGAGAATGGGGGAGATGGGACAGAGAAAGGGGGGAAAAGGAACTGAAAATGAGAGGAATGTGGGACAGAAAATGGGGAGAAAACCTGACAGAAAAGGTGGGTGACAGAAAAGAGGGAAAATGGGACAGAAAAGAGAGGGATGAGGGGACAGAAAACAATGGGAAAATGTGAGAAAATAGGGAAATGTGACAGGNGCAGTGTCACCAGTAGGTTCCACAATTAACGGGATACTCAGTGCCATCAGTAGGTCCCAGAGTTAATGGGATGCTCACCAGTGGTGCAGTCAGTAGGTCCCAGAGCTAACAGGCTTGGGTTCCCGCAGGTGACCAGCAAGTTCGAGCTGTACAGCTGCTTCAGCCCGCTGGTGACGAAGGCGGGCGCCATCGCGGTGCTGACCAAGCTGCTGCGCTGGCTCAAGAAGGAGGAGGACTGGCTGTTCATCCGCTACCCGGCGCCGTTCTGTGCCGCACCCGCGCGCCCCGAGGGGCCCGAGCCTGAGGGCTGACAATAAATGCTGAGACCCCGGGGAGAGTCCTGAGTCTGGGGGGACTGGGGGTGAGGGGACATGGCGTGAGGGGTGAGGGGACGGGGAGATGGGAACACATCCTGAGGGGGGAGAGCATGGAGGGAGGGAGGAGAAGAGAATGGGGGAGATGGGACAGAGAAAGGGGGGAAAAGGAACTGAAAATGAGAGGAATGTGGGACAGAAAATGGGGAGAAAACCTGACAGAAAAGGTGGGTGACAGAAAAGAGGGAAAATGGGACAGAAAAGAGAGGGATGAGGGGACAGAAAACAATGGGAAAATGTGAGAAAATAGGGAAATGTGACAGGAAAGGAAGAGGTGACAAATGGAGAGCAAAAATAGACAGGAAAGAGGGAAGAGAAAAAGCTGGAAGAAGTGACAGACTGGGGTTGAAAAGGAGACAAAATTATGTCAGGAAGGGACAGAAACAGCTGGAAAAGGGGCCAGAACAAGGGCAAAGAGTGGACAGAAAATAGGAAGACGTGAGGGGAAAAGGGGAAAACATGAGGGGGAAAGGGTGGGGAAATATGAGGGGGAAAAGGGAAAAATGTGAGATGAAGACCTGGGAAAATATGAAGGGAAAATGCAGGAAAACATGAGAGGGGAGGGTGGGAAAATGAGGGGGGAAAGGGTGGGAAAACATGAGGGGAAAGGGCGGGAAATGTGAGGGGGGAAAGGGCGGGAAAACGTGAGGGGAAAAGGGTAGGAAAATGTGAGGGGAAAAGGTGAGAAAACTTGAGGGGAAAAAGATGGGAAAACATGAGAGGAAAAGGGTGGAAAATGTGAGGGGGGAAAGGGAAGGAGCTGACAAAGCTGCAGAATGTGAGGAAATGGGGGGTGAAAAGAGACAAAGGGGAAGGACACTGGAGAGAAGAGTGAAAAGGGAACTAGAAAGAGGGGGTGGGTGACAGAAAATGGATCAAGAGGGGAAAAAACTGGAGAGGGAATTGAGGGACAGAAACAGCAGGAAAGGAACTGGAGGAAGGAGGTGACAAATGGGGGGAACCAGGGAGAAGAGAGACAAGAGAAGGAGGGAGGAGAGGTAGAAAATGGTGAAACGTGACAGAAAATGTGGGGCTGAGGGTGGGAAAAGGGGAACGAAGAGGGTGACAAGGGGACAGGAGGGGACGAGCCAGCACCCACCGTCACTGTGCTCCATGTTCCCTCCCACGTACCCCTGTGTCCCCACCATATCCCTCCCATGTACCCCTGTGTCCCCACCGTGTCCCTCCCATGTACCTTTGTGTCCCCACCGTGTCCCTCCCATGTACCCTTGTGTCCCCACCGTGTCCCTCCAGGCTGCAGCAATGGACGTGGACCCACGCAGTGAGGGGCTCTGCAGCCGAGATCCCCCAAGACCACCGTGTGCCCCTGTGTCCCCCCGCCCCAGGGACAAGGTGTTCCCAGGGCTCCCTAAAGGACACATTGTCCCCGTGTCCTGCCCCGTTCCCCCCTTGGGTCCCCCTAAGGGGACCCCACAGCTGGAGGTGCTGCTGAGGCAGATCCAGAGCATGAAGAAAGGTGAGTGTGAGGATCCCAGTGTCCCCCACATGTCCCCYGTGTCCTCCTATGCTCCCTCCATGACCCACCATGTCCCACAGTCCGTCGGGCCATGGCGCAGGAGCTGGTGGAGGCCCAAGACCGCGGTGAGGGCTTGCGCCAGAACCTGGAGCAGCGTGAGTCACCCAAGGGGACACTGAGGGGTCTGGGGGAGACACTGAAGTGGCTGGGGACACACAGAGGGGTCTGCGGGGTGGTGTGGAGGGACCTTGAGGGGTTTGTGGGGACACAGAGTGCTCCGGTTCCAGCTGATTCCCCCATCCCCACAGTGGAGCAGCGCGAGGAGGCACTGGAGGGGCTCTGGCAGCAGATGCAGGGTAAGCCCAGGGGGCCCTGGAGGTCTTTGGGACCTGCCATGATGCCCTCTGAAACTGATTTTCATGACCTCCCCCAGATCCTTCCTGACCCCTACAATTCCCTGACCCTTTTGGTCCCTTTGACTCTCCCTGAGGGGGTGACTCCTGCTGCGGGTCCCCCCCACAGAGGGACCCCCCCTGACCCCTGTGGCCATTCTGACCTGTGTGATTCCTCTGACCTGTCCTGTGAACCCCAAAACTCTTCCCTGACTCCCTTGGTCCCCCTGATCCTCCTAAACCGCCTCAGAGTCACTGCGGAGAGCRCGGCTGCAGGGGAAGGAGGTGGAAGCCAGAGGTCAGAGGTGAGTGGGKGGCACCTGTGACCCTCCCCAACCTCACCTGTGCCCACATGGCCTCTGACCCCCCCCCGAAAAACACACCTGGTGATCTCTGACCCTTGCAGGCGCTGGGGGCTCTGCCTGGAGTGGCAGCAGGACCTGGCAGGGGCAGGGGAGCAGCTGAGGCAGCTCCGACACCTGCGCCGGGGACACAGGTAGGGCTGGGGGACACAGGTGGAGTGGCACCAGGTGACCCACAGAGGTCACGTAACCACCATGTCATCCCTGTGTCCCCTCACCCCCAGGTGGGAATTCTGGCACCAGCTCGACACCATCATAGAGGAGCACAAGCGCCTGCATGACGTGCACGTGAGCCCTGGGCTGGGGTTCCACACACACCTGGGGGTTCCACACACACCTGGGGATCACACACACACCCCACCCTGTGTCCCCCTCCCACCTGTGTCCCTCCACAGGCTCCAGCCCACCTGAAGGCTGAACTGATGGAACTGGAAAAGATGCGGGAGAAGTGGCTGAGCTGGGGTGAGCCCCTGACCCCTGAGTGACCCCCCAAAGACCCCTCAGAGAACCTGAGTGTCCCTCCTGACACCTGAATGATCCCCGTAACACCTCTGGGCACTTCAGTGACTGCCTCCAACACCCGAGTGACCTCTTGTGCTCCCCCCACAGAACACTTGACTGACCCTCAGGACACTTGACCTGAGTCCCTCCCCCRCAAGCCCCTGAGTGACCCCCTGGACACCTCAGCCCCCCCAGACCCMGATGTGTCCCCTTGGGCTGACCGGTGTCCCCCCCTTTCCCAGAGCATCGTCTCATGGAGACCGAGGAGCAGCTGGGACCAGGAGCCCCCATGGTCATGTGAGTGCCCAGCTTTGGCCCCACCCCTCCAATCTGACCCCACCCCCCAGGCACAGGCCCCACCCCTTAACCCTCATTCTTGCAGGCGATTGGTGGAGCAGGAGCAGGAGGGGGCACAGCAGCAGCTGGAGGCAGAGCTGGGCCGGCAACAGCTGAACCTGCAGCGTCGTGACAGGTGTGTGACCCTTCCAGGACATGGTGTGACCCTTGGGGACAGGTGTGGCACCTGGGCCATTTGGGCCCCGCCTACCATTGGCCCCACCCCCTTTTCTGGCCACACCCCCAGGTTGGCAGAGGAGCTGCAGCAGCTGCAGC